TAACTTTTCTAGTAATGTACAAATAATGTTACAAGACACTACTGAGGAGTGTTAGATCTATAATATTGATCCCTGGTGGAGGTACCCTAACTTTTCTAGTAATGTACAAATAATGTTACAAGACACTACTGAGGAGAGTTAGATCTATCGTATTGATCCCTGGTGGAGGTACCTTAACTTTTCTAGTAATGTAAAAATAATGTTACAAGACACTACTGAGGAGTGTTAGATCTATCATATTGATCCCTGTTGGAGGTACCTTAACTTTTCTATTAATGTACAAATAATGTTACAAGACACTACTGAGGAGTGTTAGATCTATCGTATTGATCCCCGAGGAAGATACGTCAACCTTCCTAGTAATGTACAAATAATGTTACAAGACTCTACAGAGTAGAGTGCGGATTCATGATGTCAACCTATCCAGTTCATATGTAGTTGTTAAGAGAGACAACACTAAATACAGGTAAGAAGACAAAGCTTTAATAAAATTTCTACGGTACAGAAGAAGACCTTAAACTTCACTAATTTGTGGATTAACAGAACATATACATACGAGTAAAGTACATTTAAAATGTATCCTATTTATAAATCACATTATTGCAGTAAAATATTAACTTCTGATCAAAGCAAGCTACCTGCTTAGAGCACAACTAAATTTCAACATGGTGTTTGTAATTATATATACTTTGTTTTTATTGATAAGAATTATAATGCATTGTATCCTCAGCTGAGTATCTTTCTACGATATAGCTTTCATTTTAAATTGTCTGAAAAAACAAAATCTTGGGCTTATGTATATTAGATGCCTCTTAATAGAAGACATTAATAAGCCTGAATGTATAACATTTCCAAAGAAGGAGGAAATTTTTCATGATAAAGAAAGTAAGATGATGAAATACTGCTTGATCAGCTTGTACAAGGAGTGTTTGAGTCACTTGATACTCACAATGAAAACTTTTAATAGCTGACAAATACTTGCTATACCTGGTTTCATCCTTGTTCTGCAGAATACACCGGTACAGTCAATCTCATATAAAATAAGC